AGAGACGGGGTTTCACCATGTTGACCAGGATGGTCTCGATCTCTTGACCTCGTGATCCACCCGCCTCGGCCTCCCAAAGTGCTGGGATTACAGGCTTGAGCCACCGCGCCCGGCCAATAGGGGATATTTTTAAAACAAATAAATAAAAACCTAGCACTGTTTGTAAAAGGGTATTTTAATACCACAAATATTGGAGAGATGTAACCAACTAAATCTAGTTTAATGCAAAGTTTGCCACATTGTGCGTTTTGTTCTATGTCCCTCTCATTTTGTCACAGACCGTTGCCATTTAGGAATCCCTGTTTTAAGAGATCGGGGGTCACCGTGGACTGTTAGCATTTAGGAATCAACATTTTTAGAGATCAGATACGGCAAACATCATTGTAGGCTATAATGATTCAGGGAAGTCTTCATGGAAGAGATGAATAATTGGGTTCTTCATTGGATTGTAATGGTTGTATACCCTGTAAACTCACTAAAAATCACTGAATTGTACACATAAAATGAGTGTTTTATGGTATGTAAATTATATCACAAAACTGTTTTTGTTTTTTTAATGTAAAAACCAAGTGTAAAAGGGGATGGTGCAACATAGAATGTTGGTTTATTTTTTCCCCAAGAGACCTGTAAGATTTACTGTCTACTTTTCAGTGAAATTAGGAATGTAAATGTTGAGTGAAAAGGCAGGTGCTTTTGTAAATTATGAGAGCATGAGCTAATTACAGAGAAATATAACTGGGAGCCAGAGGTGGTGGCTCATGCCTGTAATTCCAGCTCTTTGGGAGGCCAAGGCAGGAGGATCGTTTGAGCCCAAGAGTTTAAGACCAGCCTGGGCAACATAGTATATATATAACTGGTTAATATTTAACCACCACACCACATTTATAGTGAAATAGTTATTCCTATCAAAGTAATCATGTTGGGATAACTGTACTCTTATTCTAATAAGGCATCATGATACAGGTGATATAAACTCCTAGAAATGTGGTATCATAATTCAGCAAAATTTCACAAACATTCAGGGAATTTACTTTGTTATTTACTTTGCTAATTTTTTCAGAACACTATAACTTCTTTTAGAGCCTATAATACACCTTTTATATATCCTCAGAGATGGTAAACTTCATGTTTTAGAGAGTAGGACGAATCTTGAAAATAGTAATTGTTGTCAAAATAGTAATTGTTGTCAAATTAGAAAATATTGTTAGTTGCAAACAATGTCTACCTGACAGGTAGCAAGACTGATCCTCATATATGGCAATTATATATTTATATTTTATATTTTTAGAAGACAAGATTCATTTGGAAGCTTTAGTATTTTTAAAAAATATTTACATCTCATACTTTAATTTTTACCTCTTATCTAATGTCCATTAAAGGCACTACACCACAGAGGAAAAATTATTTATACCCATCAATACTGGTGAGAACTGAACCACGTGAACATCTCCTTGATCAGTTGAAAAGGAAACAGCCTGATCTGTTAATGATGCTAAACTGTTCAGAAAACAGCAAAGAAGAAAAAAATCAGGTAAATTTAAAGGATCATTTTATAATAGAACTGTCTTACGAACTCTTGATGTGGCTGACTTCAAGTGAAGAATTTTAGCATTCACCCTTCAGTCTTACCCTGCCTCTCATTAATGATACAGCTAGTGCTCGACTTACGACCACGGTCGGGACCGTGGACCGGTCATAACATGATTTGGTCGTAAGTTGAGTTGGCTATATGTACAGTTGAAATGGTGCACGCGGAGATGGTAGTGCTGCCGGAAGCTGGTCCGCACTGTCGTACGCCCAGCTGGGCAACGTTTGCGCTGCCAGACGCGGAGCAGTCGTGGCTAGCGATTGTGGTCGTAAAGTTGAATGGTTATAAGTTGCATAGGTGGTAAGTCGATCAATACCTGTAGTTGCCTAGCTCTTAGCCTTATTTTTTAAATCATACCAGTTTTTAAATTATGCTAGTAGATAATAATAGCCAATATTTAATATTGTGTTTAGTAACATTTTTATATAGGAACCTGTACTCTCTATAAAAATATATTCGGAATTATATTCATTATTTGTAGACTTTGTTTACTTTATATATATATATATATATATATATATATACACACACACACACACACATATACTATATATACATATATATACACACATACATATATATATATATATATACATACATACATACATATTCTGCTTATGTAGATTTGTAGACTTTCGATTTGTAGACTTTCTACTAATTTTGTTGAGGTTTAACTTTAATATTATACCATGGGCATATATTGTATTCAAAGAAGAAAACTGCCCTTCCTTTGTGATGACTTTGAGGCTCTTGGACTTAGTCACTCATCCAGCTTCTTCTTCTAGGATGTGGATATAGAAAAGGCAGCTCTGGGGCAGTATACTGAAGAACCTCTAAGTCAGGAGCCATCTGTAGATGCTGGTGTGGATTGTTCATCAATCGGCGGGGTTCCATTTTTCCAGGTACTGATGATATCATATCAGATAACCCTTCCACGGATCTGATGTAAGTCATTCATTTACTATTCAATATAAAAGCATTATTCTTGGTGAGTAGAACCACAGAAACCTTTCAGTTATTTCTTAGGATGGCTTAACTCTTATGATTTGAATTATTTTTAAAAATCTCATACTGTTAAGAGGTTTTCTGTAGAATATATGAAGGCAAAATTTGACTTAATATACATCCTTAGGTGATAATCTTTAGCTAGTGCTTCTATTCCTTTTCCGCTTCCTATATACTCAGAATGGACACTGAGAACAGTCATTCCTCTCTTTCTTCTACCTTTGACATGGAAGTCTTGGAACCTATCTCTGCCCATAATCAGTATCTCTGCCCATAATCAGACTTTGAAGGCAAAAGGCTTGAAAAGATTGAGAGACTGGAGGCCTCTTAGGTTACATTAGTGATTTCTCCTGCCTGAGGCTCTTCTCTTGTGAACTGTTGCCCCATGTTTCCTGAGCTCCTTGCCTGCTCTGATCCTATGTCATTAAATCCTGCGACCTCTCCTATACACTTTTTTTTGAGATGGAGTCTGGTTCTGTTACCCAGGCTGAAGTACAGTGGCACAATCTCGGCTCACTGCAACTTCTGCCTCCCGGGTTCAAGTGATTCTCCTACCTCAGCCTCCTAAGTAACTAGGATCACAGGCGTGCGTCACCACACCCAGCTAATTATTTTGTATTTTTAGTAGAGATGGGGTTTTACCATATTGGCTAGGCTGGTCTCAAACTCCTGACCTCAAGTGATCCACCCTCCTCAGCCTCCCAAAGTGCTGGGATTACAGGTGTAAGCCACTGTGCTCAGCCTCCAACCCACTTTTTAACACTGTTGAGAACACAGTTGGTTTATGATTTGTTTCAGCATTGATGACTGAATACACAATAAATGTCACCAGTCCCTTAATGTTCTCTATGGGTAAGTGGAGGATTCCAGTGAAATACCACTTCCAAATGAGGCTCTATAAAATGCTAGTATCTTTTCCTTTAGTTTGAAGAGACAAGCCTAGACAAAGTGTGTGAAGGAAAAATTTCCTTACATAGGACATTGGTATCTATCTACATTTACAGTTGAAGTACTGCTTGTACCATTTAAAAAAAATTTTTTTAATATATAGAGAGACAGGATCTTGCTACTTGAATTCCTTGCCTCAAGCAATTCTCCCACCTCAGTCTCCCAAAATGCTAGGATTACAGGTGTGAAGCACTGTGCCTGGCCGCTTGTATCTGTTTTTAATAGATCTATAGGTCTTTCCTTTAAGGTCTAAAGATTCTCCATCTCTGCTTTCAGCTGTTAAAAAAGTTCTAACTCAGGTTCTCATCAATTCCTCCCTGTCTCTGGGCAGTTTTATACCAAAATTCTTGCTACCTTTTTTTAAAAAAAATGTTCTACTATGAGAGAACTATAAATATGTTTCTTTCAGTTTTCATCCTTTCTTCTAGCTTATAAAGTTAGGAAAAGGGGAAGGATAAGAGAACCTTGGTGACTACTTAATCCCTGGTCAGAAATTCTTTTATTATTATTATTTGTGGCATTTTGAACTAGGCTTAGTGATTCAGCTATGGCAAGGAAGTCCTCAAAGTACCAGAAAGGGTTTGGGATGGGATTTTAGACCTTTAGCTGAAGCCCATAAATGATCTTTTCTCTGGTAACAGTGTGATGTGGGGATTTTCTCTGGATTTAAAACTTTATTATTATTTTTTTGTTTTTTATTTTTTGAGATGGAGTCTTGCTCTGTCACCAGGCTGGAGTGCAGTGGCGCAATCTCGACTCACTGCAACCTCCGCCTCCTGGGTTCAAGTGATTCTTCCACCTCAGCCTCCTGAGTAGCTGGGACCACAGGCACATGCCACCACACCCAGCTAATTTTTGTATTTTGAGTAGAGACGGGGTTTCACCATGTTGGCCAGGATGGTCTCGATCTCTTGACCCCGTGATCCTCCCGCCTCAGCCTCCCAAAGTGCTGGGATTAAAGGTGTGAGCCACCGCGCCCGGCAGGTTTAAAACTTTAAAAGTTGGTTTATGATTTGTCTCAACATTGATGACTGAGTGTACAATGAATGTCACTAGTCCCCTTAATGTTCTCTATGGGTAAGTAGGATTCCAATGAAATAGAACTTCCAAATGAGGAATATGAAATAGGTTTTACAAATAAGATAAAATCCAATTTTTATAAACTAAGCAAAAGTGTTTTTAAGGTGGCCCATATACTAGTTTCTTTGCTTAAAACAGAATGGCTTTTCTGCATGACAGGAAATCTTTGTTTCCTTAGAGCAGGGTTTCTTGACAGCAGTGCTACTGGCATTTTAAACTGGATAATTCTTTGTTGTGGGGGGCTTTCCTGTGGACTGTACCATGTCAGTACACAAGAATGACAGTGTACTATTTGAATACTCACTCAAAGCCAGTAGCACTCCCTGGTTGTAACAACCAAAAAAGTCTCCAAACATTGCCAAACATCCCCTCTGGGAGCACAATCACTCCCTAGTGAGAACCACTACCCTGGAGTAAAATATTTATGTTTTAGAAAATAACACAGAAAATTAATATTTCTTTCACTATACTCCTTCCATTAGTGATAAAATAAAGAAGGCACTTGGCACTACTTGCCAAACAAATTTTTGGCTCAAACTTGTGCTGAACCTTTTCTGAAGTTTTCTACACTTAAATGTTCTTGCCTATAACCCAGAGAACTTTGAAAATAGAGTATAGTTAATGTGTATCAAATGTTACTTTATATTGACTTGATTTTCTCCCCTTAAATCCACAGCATAAAAAATCACATGGAAAAGACAAAGAAAACAGAGGCATTAACACACTGGAGAGGTCTAAAGTGGAAGAAACTACAGAGCACGTGGTTACAAAGAGCAGATTACCTCTGCGAGCCCAGATCAACCTTTAATTCACTTGGGGGCTGGCAATTTTATTTTTAAAGAAAACTTAAAAATAAAGCCTGAAACCCTAGAACTTGAGCCTTGTGTGTAGATGTTAAAAGAATATATATATATATATCAGCTGGGCGCGGTGGCTCACGCCTGTAATCCCAGTACTTTGGGAGGCTGAGGTGGGTGGATTGCTTGAGCCTAGGAGTTTGAGACTGGCCTGGCCAACATGGCAAAACCTCGTCTCTACTAAAATACAAAAATTGGCCGGGCGTGGTGGCGCACTCCTGTAATCCCAGCTACTGGGGAGGCTGAGGCACAAGAATCACTTGAACCCAGGAAGCAGAAGTTGCAGTGGGACAAGATCGCACCACTGCACTCCAGCCTGGGCAACAGAGCAAGACTTTGTCTCAAAAACAAAATTTAAAAAAGATATAAGGCAGAACTGTAAATTTAGCTGAATTTTGATATCTACCCATTTTCTGTTATCCCTATAGTTCACTTTGTATTAAGTTGGGTTTCATTTGGGATTTGCAATGTAAATATATATTTCTAGCTTTTCATATAAAGTTCTTTCATAACAAATGAAAAGTATTTTTCTTGTATATTATTAAGTAGTGAATATATAAGAACTGTACTGTTCTTCTAGGCTTGAGTTTACATAGGTGAATATCACCAACACCTGGCCTTAGAGAAGGACCACATCATTTTTTTTTTTTTTTGCTATGACTTACGTATTTTCTTGCCTCCTTCCTAGACGTTCCTATTTCGCTTTCTTGTTGGCTCACTTTTTCCCTTTTTATTTTTCACCAAACCATTTGTAGAGCTACAGAAGGTATCCTTTCTTATTTTTGGTAGCCAGAATTTTACCTAGGAATCTTTTAACAGTTTTTTAGTGGTTATTTTTTAAATCACTGTCAACAATAAATCTAACCCTAGAAGTATCCCTTCTTTCAGTACTTTTTATTTGTCTCCCTGAGATGTGAAAGGGTTTCATTCCTTTAAGAGGCCTAACAGATTTGCCCTGACAGAGTTCACAAAACCCACTTCTCTAGAATGTAAATTGCTATTATGGGAGACTACCCAGAGATCCGACTAATGGCCCTGTGCCCACACTCTAAGACGTGTCTTTTGGAGAAGATCACAATGATTTAAGGACTTTTTGAAACTTCCAATTATGTCTAAAAATTATATTCTTTTGTTTACATGATGAAACTTTTTGTCGTTCCTTGCTTGTATATAATAAAATATGTATGTGTATCTTTTTCTCAATTTAAATCTTAACCCTTAGAAGGGCCCTACTATTTCTGATCTGGCAGTCATATTTCTGGAAGTTGAGATTGTTTCAGCTTGAAGAACCAGAGCACTTGGAATATGTACAAAGAATAAATTTTGTGCCCACAACGTGTTTAGTGTGTAAATTTTAGAGACATTTGACTTTGATAGCTAAATTAAACCAAACTCTATTGAAGAATTAGAAAATATGCTACAAGGAATTAAATTGACCTTGTAGAATTAATTATCTTAATAAAAATAATGGCTATAATTTCTCTGCAAAATCAGATGTCAGCATAAGCTATAGTTAATAAATTGCCCTCAGTAAATCCATGGTTAATAAATGTGGTTTCTGCATTAACCTGCTTGCTGCATAATTTCTTATCTGGCAACAGGTATGTTTAGAGAGTTAGGCAAGCTGCATTCACATTCCCAAAATAAACTACGCAGGTACCATCAAAGAAGAAGGACCCTAGTAAACATATAGGCTTTTAGTTGCACTCCAAGGGGCTATCCTAGGTGCAAGGTTAGTGAGAAACAGGCCCTCACGCAGCCTGAAGTCCAGCTTTAAGTCATCTCATTCCATGACTGCTTAAAAGTTATCTGAGAATGCTGATGCAACTAATTTCACTGCCTCACAGAAGCAAAAATAAATCTCCAGAGAAATTTAACATCCAGAACCATAAATTAGCTCTACCAATTTTCATACACAACGTCAGACCCTCAGAATGTAACCAAGAGTAGCATCAGCAAAAATGGCAAAGTAGGTAGCTTCAAGGACCTGTTCCTCCACAGAAACACTGAAAAGTCAAGCAAAAACATTCAGAAACAACTGTCAGAACTCAGGAAAATAGTTTACAGCCACCAAGCATTTGCTAAATCAAGAAAAAGGCAACCTATAAGGAGAAGGAAAGCTTGGCAGTGGTTTACTTGCCCTTCTCCATTCTCAGCTCTGTAACAATCTTAGACACATCATATTCTCAGTGTGGGGTCTGGGTCCTGGGTTTCTAGGGCGAAGAGAGATCTTTGTTGTTGTTGTTATTGTTCTGGGAGACAGAATCTCACTCTGTCACCCAGGCTGTCGTGTAGTGGCACAATCTCAGTTCACTGCAGCCTCTCTGGTTCAAGCAATTCGTGCCTCAGCCTCCCTAGTAGCTGGGACCACAGGCACTTGCCACCACACCTGGCTAATTTTTTTATATTTTTAGTAGAGATGAGGTTTCACCATGTTGGCCAGGCTGGTCTCAAACTCCTGACCTCAGGTGATCCACCCTCTTTGGCCTCCCAAAGTGTTGGGATTACAGGCGTGAGCCACTGCACCTGGCTGAGCTTTGTGATGTTTTAACTTGCCCTATTCTCAACACTCTCCCCAACTCCTCATTAGTCTTTAAAACCAACAGTTCTATAATCATAGTGAAGACCAGTAGCCTAGCAGCCCCTTGCTAGGACAGAATGGGTTTGAAGTCTCCCAAAACAGCATTATTTGAGCACTGTCATTATTTAGCCTGACAATTCCCTGGAAACCCTCATTCACAAGACTTGCCTTGGCCAGCCATGGTGGCTTATGCCTGAAATCCCATTACTTTGGGAGCCTGAGGCAGAAGAATTGTGTGAGGCTAGGAATTCAAGACCAGCCTGGGCAACATAGTGAGACACTTTCCCTACAACAAATTTAAAAAAAATTAGGCATGGTGGAACACACCTATAGTCTCAGCTACTCAGGAGGCTGAGGCAGGAGAACTGCCTGGGCCCAGGAATTTGAGGGTTCAGTGAGCTATAGTCACATCACTGCACTCCAACCTGGGTGACAGAGCAAGACCCTGTCTCTAAATAAAATAAAAATAAAAAAACAAATACTTGCCTTTATTTCACTCAACTCAGACCATGCTCAGTGAGAATAACCTTTCACCTGGGACATTTGTTGAAGATAATCAGTAGCCTGGTAAACATGTAGCTGACTAAGGCAGTGATAACAGTTGAGGCAAACAAACTGCCCCCGCCCCCCAAAAAACAAAACAAAAAAAATCCAAAGAAGAGCTGGGGAATGAGATGTCTATAGGAGGCTTTCAAAACTACTGACGTGGCAGGGTGTGGTGGCACACACCTGTAATCCCAGCACTTTGGGAGGCTGAGGCGGGTGGATAACCTGAGGTCAGAAGTTCGAGATCAGCCTGACCAACACGGTGAAACCCTGTCTCTACTAAAAATACAAAAATTAGGGGCCGGGTGCAGTGGCCCATGCCTGTAATCCCAGCACTTTGGGAGGTTGAGGCAGGTGGATCATCTGAGGTCAGGACTCCGAGACCAACCTGACCAACATGGTGAAATCCCATCTCAACAAAAAAATATAAAAATTACCCAGGCATGGTGGCAGGTGCCTGTAATCTGAGCTACTTGGGAGGCTGAGGCAGAATAATTGCTTGAACCTAGGAGGTGGAGGTTGCAGTGAACTGAGATCATGTCATTGTATTCCAGCCTGGGCAACAAGAGTGAAACTCTGTCTCAAAATCATAATAATAATAATAACTTGATATATTCATGGGACTCTAGAAGACCATGCACATGTATGGGCTTATGTGCATGCTCAAATCTGTGCACACGCCCAGGAAAGACCTAAGAAAGTCGTTCTAACACAACATCTGGTTGACCTTGAGGCACTGAAAAAATATGGCAAAAGTTAAGTCAGCATTTTTTAATGCCTGCCTGAGTGTGAAGGTGTGCCCCAACACAAACACACACAGAACCTCTTGGAAGTGGGCTGGGAGACTAAATAGATTCAATCATTTCAGTAAATATCTAATCACTAGCTTACCACTAAGCTAAATGAGCAGAGACTTCAGTGACGAAGACCTATTTCACAGATTCATTTGGAAAAGCCACTAAAAAAAACCCATCAACAGCAACAACAAAAAACAACATCAACAAGTCCTTAGAAGGGGAAATAATTTGTTTTCCAGAGTAGTCACATTGCATTATTAGAAATGTCAGTTTTTGGCTTGGTATGGTGGTTCATGCCTGTAATCCCAGAACTTTGGGAGGCTGAGGCAGTTGGGTCATTGAGGTCAGGAGGTTGAGACCAGCCTGGCCAACATGGCGAAACCTCATTTCTATTAAAGATACAAAAATTAGCCAGGTGTGGTGGCACATGCCTGTAGTACCAGCTACTTGGGAGACTGAGGCATAAGAATTGCTTAAGCCCAGGAGGTAGAGGATGCAGTGAGCTGAGATCACACCAGTGCACTCCAGCCTAGGCAACAGAGTGAGACTCTGTCTCAAAAAAGTCATTTTTCTATAAAAAATTATGAGTATTGTTCTTACACAGAAAAATAGCAATGTATAGAAACTATCCTTAAGGAAACTTGGATGTCAGACTTACTAGGCAAAGAATTTAAACAAACTATTTTAAATGTGTTCAAAACATTAAAGGAAATCATGTTTTAAAAAAGCAATAATTGAAATTAAAAATTCACTAGAGTGACTCACAAGCAAATGTGATTAAGCAAAAACAAAGACTCAACAAACTTAAAGTGAATTGTGATTATCTAGTCTGAGGAACAGAAAGGAAGAATACATAAAAATGAATAGAACATCAGAAACCTGTGGGACATTATCAAGTATACCAACATATACATAATGAGAGTCCTAGTAGAAGAGAATAGAAAAGGACAGAAATAATATTTGAAGAAACAATTGGTAAAAATTTCCTAAATTTGCTGAGAAACATTTATCTCCATATCCAAGAATCTCAATGCACTCCAACTAGGACAAACTTAAAAAGATCCACACTTATTCACATCATCATAATCAAACTCAAAATCCAAAGAAAAGGTAATCTTGAAGAAAGGGAAATGAAATTAATCATTTAGAAGAGCTCCTTCACATGATTAACAGCTGACTTCTTATCAGTAACCATGAAGGCCAGAAAGCCATGGGATGACATTCAAAGGGCTGAAAAAAGTCTGTCAACCAAGAATTTTATATCCAACAAAAGCAATCTTCAAAGATGAAGCAAAATATAAGTAATTCCCAGATAAACGAAACTGAAACAATTTGTCATTAGCAAACCTGCCACACAAGAAATACTAAAGGGAGTCCATTAAGTTGAAATGAAAGAACACTAGACAGTAACTTGAGACTACATGAAGAAATAAAGGGCACTGATAAAGGTAACTAAGTAGATAAATATAAAAGACCATATGAATATATTTTTGCTTATGTTTTTCTTTTGTCTAATATTAAAGACTACTGCATAAAGTTGTAATTATAAATCTGTGCTGATGGGCACACAACATATGAAGATGTAATTATGATAACATTGCAAAGAAGGGGAAAGAACAGAGCTACGTAGGAGTTAGATTTTGTATACGATTGATATTAAGTTGGTATTAACTTAAACTAGATTGTTAAATTAAGTTGTTAATTGTTATTTCCAAAACAACAAAGGAAATGACTCAAAAATATATATAGTAAAAAAAAAAACCCTACTGTCAGCAACCATAATTTTTTAAACAAAAAACAAGAACATTAAAAAAAATGACAAGGGAATTAAAATGGTATACAGCTAGTGCTCGACTTACGACCACGGTCGGGACTGTGGACCAGTCGTAACACGATTTGGTCGTAAGTTGAGTAGGCTATATGTACAGTTGAAATGGTGCACGCGGAGACGGTAGTGCTGCCGGAAGCTGGTCCGCACTGTCGTACGCCCAGCTGGGCAACGTTTTCGCTGCCAGACGTGGAGCAGTCGTGGCTAGCAATTGTGGTTGTAAAGTCGAATGGTTATAAGTTGCATAGGTGGTAAGTCGATCAATACCTGTATTAGAAAATATTTATTTAATACAAAATGGGACAATAATGGAAAATAGAAAGGAAAAATGACATAAGACATATAGAAAACATAGCAAAATGGCAGACGTAATTCCTTCCTTAATAGTAATTGCATGAAATTGATTAAACACTCCAGTCAAAAGTAAGAGAATGGCAGAATGGATTTTAAAAATGGTGCAACTATATGTTGTCTACAAGTGATACACTAGATTCAAAGATATGAATATGTCGAAAGTAAAAGAATGGGAAAACCTACACCATGCATACAGTAACTCAAAGAGACCTGCAGTGGCTATTATCCTACAAAATGGATTTTAAGGCAAAAATTGTTTCCAGTTAAAAAAGGGACATATTTTAATGATAAAAGTATTAATTTATTAGCAAGTGATAACAACAAACATATGTAATTAACAACAGAACCCCAAAATACATGAAGCAAAAAATAAGATAATTGAAGAGAAAAACAGACAATTAGACAATTAAAAAATAACAGTTGGAGACTTAAATATGCCACTTTTACTAATAAAACAAATA